ATCAGGTAGTTACTTCATGTAGTGGAAGTTGTTCCACGCTGCGTCTACACCCAGATTGCGTCTTTATAGGAGAACTGTTTTTAACAATGAAAGTATCTAAAGTATTTTATTTAATTTGGGATTTTTTTAAACTCTTGTTAACATCAAAATCTATTATCGGTTAGAAAACAAAGACCTCCATGGTTTTTCTAGTAATTAAATTATTAATATATCATATTGATTCTTTAAGAGTGAACTCTTATTCCATTAAAGCCAGCTATCAGCCGGACCTTCACGCTATCTTCGGGAAAGAGATAAGGGAGGTGAAGGATAGGGTGGCTGAACATGAGAACCGCCTGTCGAATCGACCAAGTGAACAATCGGGTTGCAACGTGATGGCTAACGTGAAGAAAACGCTGGACCACCTCAAACTTGGGGATGGAATTACAGATCCCGTGGTAGCTACAACACCTTCGCTACGTGGGTTGGTTGTTGTACAAAGTGCCGCCGTTCGATGAGACTTCTCCCTGGTCGGCTTACAAAATCCTATAAAGTCCATTGCTGAACATAGGCCTCCACCATAGATTGCCTCAAAGGGGAATTTCGCCATTATTTGCCATGCTTAGCAGGCGGGTTGGCGTCTGCAGTTTTTTTTTTTAAATTGAGTTGGTATCAAGTTCTTCTCTTCCTGATACCAACTCAAAATATTACAAATAAATTTTTTATGAAAAAAAGCTTGAAAAAAGCTCAAATTAAATAAAATACTTTAGATACTTTCATTGTTAAAAACAGTTCTCCTATAAAGTCGCAATCTGGGTATAGACGCAGCGTGGAACAACTTCCACTACATGAAGTAACTACCTGATCAAAGCATGTTTTGAGGCAGTTTCTGAAAAAAGCCCATATTCAGTAGAGGAGTTGCTATAGTGGCCTCGTGAGGATTTGGCCGATGGTTTCACTACAATAATGCACTATGAAACAGTATACAAAATAATGCAATTTGTCTGTCTGTTTCTCATGACACTCATAATGAATCCTATACTTTACTTATTGCAAAAGATTCCCATTTGTAGCAGTATAAAAAGTAAAATGTTATATACCGCCAGCTCGGTGACCACAAGATCTCCATAGCTTTTATAATTTATAAACTATTGCGTGACCATAATTCCATCTGATGGCAAGTGATTATACAGTATTGGGTGGAAAATTTCATCAGTTTCCTCCGAATACTTGTAATAATCGTCGAAAGAACGAGCAAATTTCATGATTCTTGTTCTTCGATGACGTTAAGAGGATAGAGGAAAGAGGAATGAAATCATGTAATTCATTGTGTACTATTCCTTTATGGTGATACGAGGTGATGGTTTTAATATTGATCCAAAGAAGCACAGTCTCTAAAACCAAGTGACGTTTGGTTAGCACTTTCGACCTACAACTGTCTCGCTCACTCCTCATATCGTTATCCCCTTCCTGTATACAGCTAGTAGACGGGGAGAGCGATTACTCATGTTTAAAATACATACAACGTACTGTTAACGTTCAGTTCTGTTCGAGTTCGGCTGTTGTACGTTTGCTTAATCGCATTGTTGGTTACGTCTACGAAGCCTTTGCTGCAGTTGTGATAACTTTTTGTATTGCAGAGCCTGCCCTTAAAATACCCGCACTGTGCCCAGCATACCGCAGCTATTTTTACTGTTGTCAAGGTAAGCATACCTTAATGTTAACGAAAGGTTTTCCTCAAACGCATGGTTGACTCGATTAAGGAAACAAAATAAATGGTTTAAACATATAAATCGATTTTGTTGTAAAAGTAAAAGAAGGTTCTAGTAAGTTAACGAAGCAGTCGCAGCAAATGGCCGACATTAGTAGAACTGCAACGGCAAGCGCCTTTCTCTCTCATTGCGCTGTGGCAGTGTTCTAGAATCGGACCACTTTCAACTAGTGAAACTGAAAGATTATGGGTACACTGTTACTTATGTTATTTTCAACAAAATATATTTTAAAGCTGATAAATATCAAAATGACTTTGTTTTTTAAAAACCCTACAAAAATATTTGGAAAAATTTGAAAAATATTTGAAATAAATAATACATTATTTTTTTTTATTTACGTACATATTTTTATGATACAATAACTACACAGTAAATAATAACACATTACTTTTATAAATTGTCACACTAAGATTTAATTTATCCCTTACAGTGAATCCAGTTCTCCATTTGAAAGGATCTTGTAAGTACCTGCTTGATAAAAGGAATAGGTACCTACAATTATTATTAATCTGTGGCAGGGTTCATTTTTTGTGATATTTTTTATAAAAATTGAAATTCTACCTATCTTTTAAATCTAAGGATATGAGCTTAGAAGAGCTGTTTTGTCATGAAATTGTGGGTAATATTTCTAATACTTTAAATGGATCTTTACGTAATACTATACGAAGACATTTAAAATTGCTTAAATTCTGACCAACTTTCATCTTGATAATCTAAGTCAAACATCATGTAAAGCAGCTCCGCTTACAGCGTCCTCGAATTTGAAGATTCAACTGTTGTCGTAACAACATAATGATTAATGACGTAGCAATGCAAATGATCTGAGAATTAGGTTCTAGCGGCAACTCTATTTCGCCGTTATTTATACTATTTTTTATAGTTTACAGAACTGCAGATGCTTTGCATTTGAACATAAGATTAAACTAACAACTTATACATTTTTTTAAATAGTGTTTTGCGTTTTTTAAAAAAAAATGTGTTTTTCGTTTTATCGCAAGGCGTTAAGGCGTCTCCTAAATCATTGAATTGTAAATATTCTCCGAACTGTACCTACATAGAACACAAAAGGTGTCTCGTCTCCTCCGTTTTATATATATGCTTGTTGTTATATGCTTAGTTCAAGTTGAACACAAGTTGAATTTATTTTATGTTTAGACTAGGGTTACCAGATTCAGACCGTACCAGGGAGATACCAAGTTTTAGAGTTCCTGAGAATATTCCTTTGTATTCAATTGATTTTTTTTAAATACAACAGTTATTTGACATAATATTCACACATTTCAATGTTTTGGTTACATTTTAAATGTTTTGTTTACAAAAATAATGTGACTTAGTAAATACATTACTTTTAACACTTTGTTCCAAAAAATCCTGACTAATTCAGTTTTCTTGTGAAAAAGTTCCGTAATTACCTACTGATTTCTACGAAAATTCTTGTCATTTGGTAATCCAAAATTAAACTTTATGTAAGCATTTTAATTATACTTACTACAAATTATCAGAAACTGGTCTAATTAATTACTAACTCCACAGCTTTTCTAAAAAATCGAGAACATTAGAATTTAGGTCACTTAGAATGTAGGTAGGTACCTACTTAGCCTCAATTCGGAATAACCAGATGAAGTTTTACTTGTCAAACCATTTATTTTGTTGAATTTTGATATATTTCTGTATGTGCTTTAAATATAAATTTTATCATTTTCTCGGGTAAGAAAGTAAAACATCAAAACCTATTCTTTGTGTAATGATTTTTTGCTCAACTTGTAGGTATTGGTGCTTGTATGTAGTATTTTAAAAATATTTTTTTACGTAGCAATCTACACCTACGATTTACTTGGTGTAAGATTTTAAAATTTATATCCATAATTCTATTTCGTAAATTTATCCAGAATCTAGAAAAGTATTTTGCTACACCGAAGACAGAATGAGCCCAACTAATAAGAAGGCATATAAGAGCCCATAATATAAAAGGTTATAAAAATGCATTTCAAAATTCTCAGGAATGTAAGGTGTACATTTTTCATAAGTGAAAGAAATATGTGTAGGTATTATTGTAAGTTAAAGAAGAAGCGATATGTATTTATATATTCATATATATTGCTTCATTTTGCCAAAACTCACTGTGCTGTTATAACTTATCACCATCTTGCCTATTTCTGACGTAAAATCACATTTTTGATTGTAGGCTTCCACAGGCTGTAACACATAATACTTTTACTTCTAGCGGAGAGGCTGTAGTCGCCACTTAAACTGTTAGCACGTTTGTCACTTTCAAATTATGAAAAAAAAAATGCTTAATTTAAATAATTTTAAATTCTATCTTAAGATCTTATAAATTTTACATTCTATCTTATGCATTTGACATAGGTAAGGTAAAGGCATCGGGTTTTGATTAAACATGCCTATCGATTGTACAATTACACACCTACTACAGAATTTTAATTTTACTGGGTCTTGTTGCAATTTAAAATGTAATTATTTGAATAGTTTTTTTAATTATAATATAATAAAGTATATATCTTAATAATTTTATGAGGATTTTACTGTCTAAAATGTTGCGGTTGCAACATGCCTGCTAAAACTTACTTCTTTAAGAATACTGTTCCCATCTCTGGGCAGGGGCTCCCCAGTGCCAGCTCCTTCCACTTGACCGCATCCAGCGCAGAGCGGCTCGAATCGTCGACGACCGAGCCCTTTCCGATCGGCTCGATTCATTGGCACTGCGAAGAGATGTTGCATCTCTTTGCATTTTCTTTCGCATCTACCATGGGGAGTGCTCTGAGGAATTGTTCGGATTAATCCCAGCCGCCAAATTTCATGAACGCACATCGCGGCAGAACTCCCGATACCATCCACATCATCTGGATGATTGGCGGTCCACCACTGTGCGATTTAGAAGATGTTTTCTTCCTCGCACGACTTCCTTGTGGAATCGATTACCATCAGCGATTTTTCCGGACCGATACGACTTAGGGACCTTCAAGAAAAGAGCCTATTCCTTTTTAAAAGGCCGGCAACGCATCTGCAATTCCCCTGGTGTTGCGGTTGTTCATGGGCGGCGGTAGTCACTTACCATCAGGTGAGCCGCATGCTCGTTTGCCCCCTCTCCTAAAAAAAAAAAAAAAAAAAAAAAAATATTTTGTGGTCATGAAGTCCGCCAACACGTTCATCTCAATAAGATGGAAGAAGAAGAAGTTGTTTGTATTGATGAAATTAATCTTCACAGGAAGCCGGTTTTAAATCACGAAAATGCTCGCAAACCCAGCAATGGAAATTCAAGCGGAGGAGACTCCGTTGGCTCTGCGCCGTTTATGGAAATTGACCCGCGCCCGTCTCGCCGGCACCTCTACCGCGCTTGATGAGCCTGCGCTCGTTGAGACCCTGCCCTCAGCACAGGTATATACGTAATTTTTATAATACTTATATGAAATTTGTAAATAATTATAAATTAAAGATACCTCTTAAAAATGTATATATTTTTGACTATAGTAAAATTATTTTGTGCGTGCAGTTGAGATCATAAATCATAGCTCGGCCTCAACCCGGTTAGGGCGGTGAGCATGTTGCGCGGGCGCAACGCCATTATCGATAACAATAAATTTAATTTTATATATAAGTTATTATCTTTATATTTATTTTTAATATAGCTTGTTACTTTTCAAACATTTGTACTTATAGTCTTTTTAATACATAGATACCTAATTAATAATTTATTTTAAATCATTATTATTCTTATTTTAATAAATACGTTGTTTTATCTATTTTGTTTTCATTTTTATCACTAACCCACATAATGTCAAAATTAAATACATTATCGATAACGCTTATCGACAACAACAATGCACATCACTATGCTCACCCCTAAGGCCCGTGAGTGGGAGAGAGAGAGCGTAATACTTCGATGATTTGTGACCCAAACTGCATGCACAAAATAATTCTAGTATAAACGAATATTTTCGGTGTCATTCTAAATCATATTTTGTTTATTTTGTATTAAATATAAAAAGTAGAATACAACCATTAAAAATATATTAATTAATAGTGGAGTACCAGCCAGTGGCGGCGTAAGAGAATCCACTACTCCATAACATTCCGGGGTGTCGTAAAAGGCGGCAGAGGGAAATGAAACAGGAGATGGGCAGCGGCATCTTACTGACAACAACTAAAAATTATAAAAATCTGCGGTTGCCAACATACCTGCCAAGCATGGCAACTATGGCAAACATCCCCCCTATGCCGAAATCTCTGGAAGAGGCCTATCTTCAGTAGTTTTTATTGATGAACTGTAATGCTGCACGCTGAATGCCAAAAACATAGAGAAAGAATTAGAACTGTTTAAAACAGGTACCAACAAGAATTCTCCCTTAAAATTAGAGCTTTTACTTGACGTAAGATTAAAAATATCTCTTAAAATATGCAAGGCTGTAATGACCCCGCGCTAAAGTGCCCTTCACGTAGTAGATCTTATTATTAAGCGTTTATAATAGTAAAAACCGGAAATATCAACCAGAACAAGTATTTTAATATTCAGATATTTGAAGAAAAAATTGTGATATTAATACTTCATTGTAGACGGACTCGTCTCAAGTGAGTCAAGGCCCCGTGTTATTAAAAGTTGCAATAATAAATCGGCCTTATTTCACTATCAGAAATGTCAGATTGTCGGTTTTTAAATAAATATTTTACCGTCCCGTAGTCTTTATAGATAAGACTCGTACGCTAGCTGTGCACGTGTGCATGAGTATTTGTGCGTGATGAAATCAATTTTAGGGTTCAAAGTTTGTTATTAAAAAGTAAATATAAATTTTACTCTTTTGATTCACTAGTTCCATTGTTATATTATGATATTATGAATTTATAATATATCAATTCAATTAATTAGGAGGATTTATTTTCAAATCTTGGAAGGATCATTTCAAAATTACTATCAAAATTTTGCTTTTAAAATATGTTTTATTAAAATAGCGTACTGATTGATATATAAGTTAGTTCTAATGATAACAAAAATTACTTTTCAGTATTTGCCTTGTGCGATAACTTCTTTAATTATGTTTGTGTTTATTAATACATTATGAATCTTCAGCATCAATTGGTCCCGTTTGTTTACGTAACCGATACAAGTTGTTGCGAAATATCAATGATATTATACTTACTAAAAAAGACGTAAATAATTTGTTATGTCGTTGAACACTTGTTTTCTGTTTTAATTGATTTGAGAAGAGATTTGATTAGTTTTCTCTATTTTATTGTATGTAACACGATATCACGGGGTTTAGATAACCGAATAAACTATTAATATTTAGGTACTATTAGAATGTACTTTCACAATCATTCTATTACTAACTTTATTATATCTAACATGATCTTTTTATAAACTTTATTTATTTATTCATTCATTAGTTGTCTAATATAAAGGTATGATAGGCAATTTTTGTGATATAAAATATATGTGTAACAATTTTTTGTCTGAATAAATATTATGAAGTATCAATTTGTGCAGGAACCCGAGGAGACGCCGAAAACTTTTATTTCTTGTCCAAGTGATTATGAAAGTGATGTCGAAGAGGCGTTTTCGGAGCTGGAAGTACCGGTAAGCATGTTTGAAACTAGCATCAACAGCAATAAAAGCATACCTAGTCTTTCTGTTGAAATATATTATAGCCAAATTTAAAAAAAGTCTGGTTCTGACTAAGTTATTACAACGAAAGAAAAATATAATTCTATTAATACCTTCATAGGAAAACCTTTGTTTCTTTTAAAAGTTTGGGTATATTATATTTGTTTTCTTCTTCGTTATCAACCCGTAACAGCCCACTGCTGGACATGGACCTCTTCCATTTTGGAAAGGTTTTTCCGTAGTCGTCAAGTTTGCAGGTGGAATGCTGATCACAGCATCATTTCTCTTACAACTTTGACTCTTCTTTCCATCGCCGGTTTGGGTATTTCACATCTGGCACTTACAAGATGGTATATCGCCATTTATGAGAAGCCATAAAGACTTTCTGGTCTTTCCGATAGTCGTCTCTTAAGGCACTCATAAGTCGAAATGGAACGATAGATTTCTTTTACGCTGTCATTATCAACATCAGCTATGCAGATGACATGGTGCTGATGGGACCGTCGGTGAGGGCAGTAAGAGAGTTACTGAAGGTGTGTGTAGCCTATGCTGAGTCTCATGGGTTGGCATATAATGTCAAAAAATGTGAATACATTGTCTTTGGCGTCAGGGGCAAGCCTAGGACTGATGAACCTGACCTGTTCTTGAATGGGTCAAAACTTAAAAAAGTGACGTCCCTTAAATATCTTGGTCATTTTCTTGCAGATGACCTGAAAGATAATGTAGACATTGAGAGGGAACGCAGGGCTCTAGCGGTCAGGAGTAACATGCTGGCCCGTAGATTTGCTCGATGTACGGACTTAGTAAAAATTACCCTATTTAAGGCATACTGCCAGAGTCTGTATACGAGCAGTCTATGGATCAGTTACACTAAAAGGTCGCTGGATGCCCTGCGTGTTCAATATAATAATGCTTTCAGAATGTTGTTGGGACTGCCTCGATACTGTAGTGCGTCGGAGATGTTTGCGCAAGCTCGCACGGACGGTTTTCATGCGATAATACGTAAGAAAACAGCTTCGCTGCTTAGAAGGGTGAGAGATAGTCACAACAGCATTTTGAAAACAGTAGCGGAGAACTATAATTCTCCGATTTTGAAAAAGTTTGTCCATACATTAATGTTTACTAACACTAGTTTATAAGTCAATTGTTACTAACACTACTATGGATTAATTTTGGTCCGAAATAAAGATTATTATTATTATTATTATTATTATTATTATTACACGTCAGTAAAAAAATAGACAGAGATATCAAAGATAGCATCGCTCCTGTAAAGGGTATGCAGAGTCCAAAGAGTATCGAAGTACTCTGATCACGCTACATTATGGGGTTAGATAGAAAATTGTGAAAGAAGTGACAGGTGGTTAGCTCATCGTCTATGCAATCACAAACATAATACTTTATTACTTGCCTTTTACTTGGTAGGCAAGTATCACAGTTGGTACATTATTGCATACCTTAAGCGAAAGCGCAAGGTATGTTCTACTATCGCCTAAAAATTAAGATTCCAACGTTTTATCGAATAAAATCGTATCTAGCAATCATATTATACATATAAATGATATAAAAAGCACATTGTTAGAAAGATAAATGATTGTTGAATTTATTAATATTTTTTTTAAATCGATTAATTGCTATTTTTAAATGAAAAAAGGGTTTTAGTGGCTTATGGTGTGGATTTATCATGTCCCTGTGGTTTGTAAACACGGTAACTTTTGAAAATATCAATTGTTTAACTCAATCTATTTTTTAATCTCTTCATCTATCATGGGGGAAGCCACTGAATGTAAATGGCAGTGTAATTTTGTTTTGTTTAGCTATAATTAATTTTTTTCGGTTCCAAAATGGCGTAATTTTCGTTGATTTGGTAGCCTTGTATGTAAATTATTTCTGTAAATGGGGAGCTACAGCCACAGAGTAGTTTAGTTCGGCTTCAGTCGCCGTCGTGATTGGACATTGTTTCGGTTGTTGCAGCGGCTTAAAATGATCGCTGTACAAATACACAATATTCGAATAACCAAATTTCTTATATACTTGATTATAATAATAATAAGAGATTTTTTTATTGCAATATTTTAAAAGCACAGAATAATAAATATACAAAATAATAAATATAGTATGTACTAAAAGTAAGTAGTATAATTTTTTTGTCATGGGTGACATTTTCATGGTTTTCGAGGGTGTTGAAATCGATAGTGTTGTCGAAATGTAAATCCAAGATGGCGGCCGCAATAGCTATAAATTTTTTCATCATGAGTGTCATTTTCATGGTTTTCGAGGGTCCTGAAGCCGATAGTGCTGCCGACATGTAAATCCAAGGTGGCGGCTGCAATAGATATAATTTTTTTCATCATGGGTGTCATTTTCATGGTTTTCGAGGGTGTTGAAGCCGATAGTGCTGTCGAAATGTAAATCCAAGATGGCGGCTGAATTAGGTACCAATTTTTTCATCATGGGTGTCATTTTCATGGTTTTCGAGAGAGTTGAAGCCGATAGGGCTGTCGAAATGTAAATCCAAGATGGCGGCTGCAATAGATATCAATTTTTTCATCATGGGTGTCATTCTCATGGTTTTCGCGGGTGTTGAAACCGATAGTGCTGTTGAAATGTAAATCCAAGATGGCGGCTGCAATAGATATCAATTTTTTCATCTTGGGTGTCATTTTCATGGTTTTCGAGGGTGTTGAAGCCGATAGTGCTGTCGAAATGTAAATCCAAGATGGCGGCTGCAATAGATACAAATTTTTTCATCATGGGTGTAATTTTCATGGTTTTCGAGAGAGTTGAAGCCGATAGGGTTGTCGAAATGGAAATCCAAGATGGCGGCTGCAATAGATATCAATTTTTTCATCATGGGTGTCATTCTCATGGTTTTCGCGGGTGTTGAAGCCGATAGTGCTGTCGAAATGTAAATCCAAGATGGCGGCTGAAGTAGCTACCAATTTTTTCATCATGGGTGTAATTTTCATGGTTTTTGAGGGTGTTGAAGCCGATAGTGCTGTCGAAATGTAAATCCAAGATGGCGACTGCAATAGATATCAATTTTTTCATCATGGGTGTCATTTTCATAGTTTTTGAGGGTGCTGAAGCCGATAGTGCTGTCGAAATCTAAATCCAAGATGGCGGCTGCAATAGATATCAATTTTTTCATCTTGGGTGTCATTTTCATGGTTTTCGAGGGTGTTGAAGCCGATAGTGCTGTCGAAATGTAAATCCAAGATGGCGGCTGCAATAGATACAAATTTTTTCATCATGGGTGTAATTTTCATGGTTTTCGAGAGAGTTGAAGCCGATAGGGTTGTCGAAATGGAAATCCAAGATGGCGGCTGCAATAGATATCAATTTTTTCATCATGGGTGTCATTCTCATGGTTTTCGCGGGTGTTGAAGCCGATAGTGCTGTCGAAATGTAAATCCAAGATGGCGGCTGAAGTAGCTACCAATTTTTTCGTCATGGGTGTAATTTTCATGGTTTTTGAGGGTGTTTAAGCCGATAGTGCTGTCGAAATGTAAATCCAAGATGGCGACTGCAATAGATATCAATTTTTTCATCATGGGTGTCATTTTCATAGTTTTTGAGGGTGCTGAAGCCGATAGTGCTGTCGAAATCTAAATCCAAGATGGCGGCTGAAGTAGGTACCAAGTTTTTCATCATGGGTGTCATTTTCACGGTTTTCGAGGGTGTTGAAGCAGATAGTGCTGTCGAAATGTAAATCCACGATGGCGGCTGCAATAGGTATCAATTTTTTCATCATGGTTGTCATTTTCATGGTTTTCGAGAGAGTTGAAGCCGATAGGGTTGTCGAAATGTAAATCCAAGATGGTGGCTGCAATAGATACAAATTTTTTCATCATGGGTGTCATTTTCATGGGTTTCGAGGGTGTTGAAGCCGACAGTGTTGTCGAAATGTAAATCCACGATGGCGGCTGCAATAGATATCAACTTTTCATCTTGGTTGTCATTTTCATGGTTTTCTAGGGTGTTGAATCCGATAGTGCTGTCGAAATGTAAATACAAGATGGCGGCTGAAGTAGGTACCAATTTTTTTTATCTTGGGTGTCATTTTCACGGTTTTCGAGGGTGTTGAAGCCGATAGTGCTGTCCAAATGTAAATCCAAGATGACGGCTGCAATAGGTATCAAGTTTTCATCATGGGTGTCATTTTCATGGTTTTCGAGGGTGTTGAAGCCGATAGTGTTGTCGAAATGTATTTAATATACTTTAAAAATTCCGTATAATCATGTTATACGTAATTTTTTTAATGCGCTTAAGGTATGCCCAATTGGATTTACCAATTTTGTTGTATTGATATATAATAATAAATAAATATATGTTATTTTTCTTACGCCACCGCACCACTGAAATATAGGTACTTAATATTATGTTAGTTATTAACAGAAATAGGTATATAGGTTAAATTATAAATATATTTTATATAAATAAAAAAAACTGTGAAATTTGTAAAAGATCGTTTATTTCAAATAGTGTTATTTACATTCCATGTAAGATTCCCAGGATCTGTCAATTTAAATGATAAAGTTTCGTCAGTCAGCCGAAGTCTAGACAGTAATTTACGCAATAAAACTGCTTACATTGATAAGACTGGATAAGACCAATAACAATATGTGAATGTTTTATCTCAATGAATTTCATTTAATTTCACCCTAATCATTTTTAGATAGTGCTTCATTGATTGAAGATCTATTTTGTAAGGTTTCTCGAATAATGAAAAAATAAACCATGAAGACTTGTAAAATACGATTTCTATTTTCACCTATTAGGAGGACAAATATGTGAGTGCTGCTGCTATACAGAGTGACTAGGCACATAAAATATTTAAATAGTCCGCTGAATTTCCGCGCTTCATGTATGGTATATAAATAGCTTGCGATCGATCTCCTGGACGGACTTTGGCCCGTTTTCAGCGTCGTAGTTGAATCAATTTGCTTTGATTGTTGATGTACGTCAGAACAGTATATATTATCTATATTTATGTATTTGTACATCTGTAGATGAAATTATTTTTCAAGGAGGCTTTTGGAGATGGAGTTTTTACTTTATCGCATAATTAGAATTAAAAGAGATAAAGTAAATGTAAATTTCTTATTACATTTTAAAACATTAATGAAGTGAAATAATTTAGAACTTTTTTTTAAATGAATACTTTTGTTTTTTCATACAAAGCCAAAACCAATTTTAAATTAATTACATCATATGCAAAAAAATAAATAATAACAAAACTGTACAGCATAATTTTTCTTGGCATCATTTCTCACAACCTAATAACATTTGGCAATGCCAAGACGAGCTCTCTTTATTTTATGCCTTAACGGCTGCGAGTGTAGTTCTTATTATATATATAAAAAAATATATATTTTTATTTAAATCCAGAAAATGCTCGCCGGTATCATTTATGAAGAATTATATATCTGTGAAAATGTCGTTGTAAGTCTCTGTGGAGAAAAAATATTCCTTTTCAATCTAGCTCTATATCATCAAACATTAATTATAGTTCAATAATTATTTATCGTTGTATCCTTTTTTATTAAGTCTCAAAGTTTAAAAAGGTCTATTGCATAATACATTTTTAATTTTTAATAAATAGTTCATTTATTTTACTTCCAATATATTCCTTATAGGTTACACGAAACATTTAAAAAATATTATAAAATAAATGTTCAATATCATTTCCATACTTATTTTAAAAATAATAAATTTAATAATAATATCTTTCAGGAACATTCTGAGATTCCATGCAAAGCTTACTGGAGTTCAAACACCTACGATAAAGAGGTTGTACTTGATGCCAGTACCCTTGGAGACATTCCTGCTGTGTACCGTGTACCGCAACCAGCGATTCATGAAATGCCCGTTATCGGAATTTACATTGACCCAAGAGTTAGAACTGGCTTCAGATACAAAATAAGACCCATGCAGGTGAGAGAATATGCTGATAACGACTCAAAATCATCTTAGAGGTCATTTCGTTGCAATTTGATGAATTGTCGTACTTTATAAACAGAAGTGTTGATGATTGCAATGTGACTTTAAGACAGTGAAAGCAATCGTCCACATTTCACTTTTGTTTTTTTAAATTATAAATTACAAGTACTTTAGCTGAGTGTCTATTAACGACAATTCTTCAGGAATAATGAATGTGCCTTACTCTTTGGTTAGTTCAAAAAGCTTTTGTATCATAAACGTAAAGTACTTGTTTAAAAGAGAAAAACTACGAAGATCCATATCAAAAAGGGGCAAAATTTTCCCACTGAACCGCGAAAGAAACGGCTATGCTTTCAAATTTCAATTGTAATTGAGTTTGGACCTTCGATATTTCAGCTATCTTTTAGCATATTGTTACGTCTTTTGTCTATATTTTTTATGTGTTTTTTCTCTTAAAACACGCCATAAATATGTATAGTACCTATTTTAAAACTAACAGTGGAGTGGTTATTAGTGGGAAAAGAACATTTTTGTATGATTCTTCTTTTCAGAGATCAAGAGGATGGTGAGTTTTTCCAATTCAATCATACAAAAATGTTCATGCGTAAAGCGAAGATTCTGAAAAGTTTTAGTTTTATTTCTTTTATTTAGGTCGAAATTTGACAACGAATTCCTTTTTAAAGATTTTTTTTATTTGCATATATTATGTGTCCACTGTCAGTTATAGCTCGCTCTTTGGACAAATTTGTTGAAGCTTAAATAAATTTCTTTGAAATAAACAGTAAGGTTGTCATGGTTAATAATAAACGAGTACATAATATCGTGAAAAATATATGGTTTCTTGTCTAAAAGAAATCACTTAAACAATATTTTTTGTAATGCAAACGCTTATCGAAATGATTTATGTTAAATGTACATTTTTGTTTAGCATTGCTCAAGAGAACAAGAACGTAACTGATTGTAATGGCAACCTTACGGATACATGTTAAAAGATGCTGCTGCAGATTATTTACTTATTTTTTAACTTAAATTCTTTCATTGTAATATTAGTCCAAATTCAATTTTTTTTTCGGTACGCTAGTCGATTTCAGCGGTTTAGAACTATTCGGCCATCATTAGCCGGGAGTTAGTTCAGTAAGTAGCAGTGTCCGTTGCTGACATTTCCAGAATTTCATCAACGATCAACACTGTTAACTTGCGTCTCTTTCGCCACTGGTTGTTTGCACTTGCCGATGTAGGCGATGGTATGTGGATCGTCCAGTTTTTCAGAACCACGCCAAGTGCGGCGTTCACACATACACTGATTGTCCTTCAAGAAAGCTCGCAGAGACCCGACAGGTCGAAAGTGACATTACTGGCCGCCAGCATGTTATGTCTCTAATAGGTAAACAATAAGTATCATTCATAAGGGCACCATGCCATTTTTCCATATTTAGTTTCATTCTAGTTGAAAAAAAGCATAGTCAGTGCATGGTTATTTTTTCAGCTTTTCCTTAAATTCTTTTGTGGGACTAAATTGAAAAAATATTAAACTGATTCACATACTCGTATTATATAAGTACATACTTTGCATGCCTACTTTGGATACATCCAAACAATTGGAAAAATAATTAACGCTTCTGACTACGTATCTCATTTAATTAAATCAGATTGTTTGAAGTGGTGACCTAAGATAATGATTTGAAATAATCAGTTTTAAATGTTTTCCATTTTTTTTAAAGTCAGTATTGTTTTATGTCCTCTTTTTACTGGACAGAATATAAATTATATTTTTAATATTTTAGGCTTTGGATGCTCCTCCCTTATCAGTGAAACCGAGATATTTATTTGGGGGAAAAGCACTTACCCTTCAAGCGATTGGGCGTGGGTTTGCCCGCCGCCTCACATTTGAACCAATTGACTCAACACTTAACGATAACGCAAACTATTTCTGGACGGATTCAAGGCCTGAAGGATTTGTATTTGAGATCGAAGCAGTTTCTGTTGGAGACAAATTTACTATTTATGACGCCAATCATGAACCACAGGGCATTCTCGAAGTCGTTCAGCAACAGGTAAACAAATTGATTATTTTTAATTTCAAAATAAATTAAATTAGACAATTTAGTTTCTTGTAACTTTTTATCTATTCTATACATATAATAAAACTGTAAATAGCAGATGTCTGTACATTTTATATTTTTGTAATAAAAATGATTGAGGGGTACTAAAAATAAGTAATTAAATACATTTCTACCATTTTTAGAATTTTCTGTCTGTCTGTCTGTCTGTCTGTCTGTTTGTTTGTTAACGTATCACGTATAAAGTACTAATTTATATCATAAGAATTGTTAAGGAAATTATAAAGTGTATCTTCGGGTTACATTTAGTCTTTATTTCATTAAAATCAGTTCATTCTATCAAAAGTTATGATAAATATTCTGAAGTATGGGTAGGGAAGTATAGGTACGAATTTGCTCAACGGTGGCTTTGTTTGAGTCATCAAGTGCATTTTAAACTAATATCATATCATAAATCATAGTTAAATTATGTAAAATAATGATATAATTATGTATATCTAAAACGCAATAAACAAAAGTATTAAAGAACGTATTAAATATATTATACAAAAATATAAATCTGAAGCACAATAGTTAACCCATTTCTTCGATAGATGGTGGTTTTGTAAAATGTAATGCAATTGCAAATGCAATGTGGTTTTTTCCTGTTGATGAAGAGTTTTCATATTTACTACTAATCTTTATTATATTACTCGCTGCCCTACTGCGTGTTGACAAACTCAATTTATTCTTTACCGCCGAGTACTCTATGTGGTAAATCAAATTTTAAAAGAGCTATTAACAATTGCGTTGGTTTTGGCGAGAGTCAAACTTTATTTTTTGCTTACTGTGCAGGCACTGATTTATAAGTCCTCTTGCGTTTTATATAATGTATCAATCGCGTCAATTAATCTCTTTTATTTGTAGAATTGATGTTAGCAGCGCCATCTCTCTTTTAATATATACATATAATAAAAATGATGATAACATGTTGTGTCTCTTTCTGTATATTGTATATATATTTTGGTGGCTAAAATCATTATGGGGAACTGAAAATAATTAAATAAGAACATTTTATAATTTTTAGAATTGTCTGTCTGTCTATTTGTCTGTTATTATATGAACGCATCACGTCTAAAGTAAACATCTTTTATTTTCAAAGAAATCGTTAATAAAATCATAATGCGTATCTTCGAGTTACATTTAATCTTTGTTTTATTAAAATTGGTTAATTCTATCGAAAGTAATGATTATTATTTTGAAATGTAGGTTCGAATTTGTTCAATGGCGGCATAAAATCTCAGAAATAGTAATAAAAAGATTTGTGTGTAAAAAAAAAACGTTCCATAATATTTAATATATTTATATTTAAAACACAAAAAGAGATTTGAAAAGGATGTTTTCTCACACAAAGGACGTAATAGATGGAGTTGCACAAATTACAAACTTTTCTGAATTGCTGTGTTGAGATTTTTCGCCGATGAATCGTATTGAGACTTACTGAAGAAATTTGTATCCATCGAAGCCATACAACGGAACCCGACCAAAAATAAAAATTTTGCAACGAAATGTCGTGATATTGTATTTATAATATACGCAAAATCAATACTGCCATTTTAGCGCTTTGGGAACTAGATTCAGCGCTTTTTTGGAATGTATAGCGCGCATTTCGAAATTTTAGCACCTAGCTTAATCCAGCGCTTTTTAGTGTATTTAACACACATTTCAATATTTTAGCGACTAGCGGGTTATTAACTCTTTTATAGCAGCACTGTTAGTCCATATTAACGATAATAATAATAATGACCTTTATTATTTTTCCCACAAATAGTACATTGCAGTTTATCTTTTTCAAACATATTTTTTCCACAAAACAAAGAGCATGGGAGACGAGTCCAAACTAGGATACCCTGTGCTATGGATCTCCTGGCTTCCCCTTTAGGATGATCAACTTGATTTTTTTACCGACGACTATAAGCGGGGAAATCCCCTTTATTAAATTTCGTTCATGGTTTTGGCAACGCATTTATTTTGGTTTATTCAGTTTCAGTCAGTTGCTTAGAGCACAGCTAAGTTACTTAGAAGTTATAACACAAAGAAACTGTGTAGCAACCGCAATCAGATGCTGACATCTGAAACTAAGTTGCGAAATACATTGCATTTTAAAACAATTAATGACATTTTTATTGTTCGTACAGTACTAACTACTGTTGACAGCAATTGCCATAATTATAAGTCGATGTCCTGCGAAGTATTGATACATCAAAAAAATATTGCCAGAAAAAAAACTTCATGTTGTTTTCTTTATTATGATTATATAAAAAAACACAAACTTTGTTTGTAGTTAATTTAGCGCGAAATATAGGGCTTTTTTAAAGCGCTGTTTTCATGAAATCTAGCGCTTTTTGTGTTGTCCTAGAGCTGAATGAGTTTTTTTTATCTGGCAGCACTGCCCAGAAACCCTCTATTAAGAAGTAACTTTCCTTTCAGTTTTAAGTGCGTTCAGTTCCCAGTTACAGTGAGCGTGTGTTATGCGATGACCGTAAATAAAGCGCAAGGTCAAACTTTTCGTTGTAGGAGTGTACCTCAGTACTGACTGTTTTGCACATGGCCAACTTTACGTTACTTTTTCCCGCGTTAGTAGCCCCCGTAACCTTTTTGTGTTCACCCCGGCTAAGCCTACTTCTAACGTCGTTTACACAGAAGCTCTATCATAAACGACTTAGAACTTTGATGATAATGATTTATTTAGTTACCACTTATTGATACAGTAATGAAATAAATCGTTTAATATTCTCTTACCTAAACGACAAATTCTTTATGTAAAACCTGTATACGCGAGCTACGCCGCGGGCACAGCTAGTTGAGAATAAAGATGGAGGATGTGTACATAATTGAAATTCAATTACAGAAAAACCAAGTCGAGCTGGAACAATCAATATCGGAAGATGGTACAATCGAGAAAAAGGTGAAAATAAGCACGCTTTGCAAAGTGGAATGGTATGAAAACGATGGGGCTACTAAATTAGTACCTGTTACTGGAGTAGCTCTATTAAAGAAAGGTCGTGGGAATGCTAAAGTCTTGAGAGTCATCAATGTTGCCATTGGAATTAAACAGCTAAAGAAAGGTTATGAATTAAAACCTGGCATTGAGTCATCATCCAGAAGGATTAAAGTCAATGGTTCTGATATTAATGATATTCCTTGCCAGTACTCCGTAGTTGGACTAGAAAGATACGAGCTCCCTGTTATAGGTACAATATTTTGTCTAATTTGCTGTTAAAAGTTTCGCAAATTTTGTCGTTAATATATGTGTATTCCTATTTTTATTTCAGGAACATATGTTGATCCACGCATTATTCCCGGCTTCTCTTACCGTGTGCGTCCAGCGAACAGTCGTCGCCATCTCTTCGAAGGTCGCACCTTGATGCTGCAGTCAATCGGAATGGGCTACGGGAAACGTATAACCTTTAAGCCGGATACTCTTAATGCACCAGAGAACTACTTTTGGTCTGATTCTCATCCTGAAGGTATTGGCATGGAGCCTCGCGCCGTCCATCCTGACATGAAGTTCTTTATCACAGGAAATGGAGTAAGCAAATTGAATAATTTACGTAACATTTACCACATTTTATATCTTGTTCTATTCGAATAGTTGGAATACAGCCAATACGGTACTACTGAAATAGATCTAGCGAATATTTATTTGTTTACCTACATGTCATTACAACATAGCTTATAAAGGTTGTTTTAGAATAACGTCAAGTTTTTTATTCGAATCAAACTTCATGTCTCTTACGCTCATGATTAATGCGGTTTATTTTTCTGCAGGGACTTCTTGGGGAAGCAAGCGTCTTCCGAGCAGACTTACCACAGATCGAAGAAAAGACAGAATACGTGGATGTACCAGGGCAGCGTGGCAAGGCCGTTGAGAAATATATTCAAGTAGACGTAACATGTCACGTTAAACTGGCCACAACCGGAGGAGGTTCAGTTGATTCCGAAGTACACCTCATGAAAGTATCAGGAACGGCACTGGTGCGCAAAGAGCCAGGACAATCAGTCGCCAAGTTGATTAAGGTCTTCAACGTGGGATTGGACTCTCAGTTGAACCTTCTATTCGCTCACTCACAAACCGAGCTCACCTTCCACCCTCTACCTTAAAGCTGCCACGAGAACCGAATGGTATTACAATACATGTGATGGTGTATTATTTGCATCTCTAACTGTATTGTGATATCAAAACAACCCACTTGGCGCGACATGGGCTCCGTCATTTCAATCCGTTTGAACACTTATTTGCAACCGAGAAGAGGTCCTTCATTGTACCCTTGCTGACGGTAAATCGGTTGTAGATTTGTCTTGGCTGCCTAAACAAGGCAACTAATGAGCCAATGGACAACTGACTCTATTTAATAGGGAACTGGGATAAAGTTGGTGTTAAACGCCATTTCCTATAGTTGGTTCCTATAATTTTTTATTACATACTTTACTTAATTTCTTTTTGACAATGTACAATCAGTTGTTAGTAAATAAAAGTATTAAAAGTAATATGAAATTCATTACAATTCGTTACTTGACATCAAACTGTGCAATTGTAAATGGAGAGAAGAGAAAAGACTAGTGACTGAAACCAATTGACAAGTAATACTGGGACAGAGAAGAGAAAATTTCTTTATCCATTTCATATTTCTGTTTATTTATACTAAGAGAGCTTATAAATGTCTTAAACTGATTTATTAACTTTTTTAATAGAATAAATAAAACTATATTCCAAGCATGTCTTTATTTTACCCGCAGTTTTCCCACCATAAAATATATACATAGAATATGAAATTAATATTTCTGATTAATCGTTCAGACTGATGTCTATAAATAGTCGCTATTAGGTATATCTTATTCTAAATTTGAATGCTGTGTTTGGTCATGTGAAATTTATGTATTTAACCTGGTCACCCAAAAGCTACTCTGCAATTACTGTATTTGGCTACAGCATGAACGGGTCGGTTCTAACGGGGAAGGATCACACACTCTTAGTATACCAATCTCAAAACTAATAGCATATTGCTGTTGTTTCGTATGGTGATTGCAGAGAATCGGATACCATTTTACTGGTAATGAAGTATTCTATTTTAGTCCTCCACTGACCAGTAAATAATCTGTGGGTGGACATCTTGCTCGTTTCTAAAGTCCACTGCTCACTCTACTTAGTTCTATAAAAAATGTAAAATGCCTCTATGATAAAGGAGAAAATCTTAGTGTAGGTTTTTTTAAAGTTAAAGATAAATTTTAAAAGTATTCAGAGGTTGTTTGCTTCGGTCGTAATAACCTAATAAAATTTCACTAGTAGCATATAAATTGCGTTTTGATGTCGGATTGAAGGCAATTAAAGCCTTTTTAGTTCACAGCTTTTCATTGAAATTTTCAAGAACGTGCTAGCTGGCAGCGCTTGGAAAATTTGCCCAAACTCATCACAAGAAGGGGGAGGAGTTGTCCTCTCTCGAGAAGGGGCTGCCATGGGTTGGCTGGCGTCGCCGCCTCGCCGGTAGAGCCGCGGATTTATGCGAAAGCGTGGCCCGACCAATATGCGGCGAAAGTGGAACACCATTATAGTTGGTGCGAGTCCGATATAACTCGTCCTTGCCCCCCATGCAAGGCGAGTATGCGTAGGCATTTCTCCATGTAAAAAAAGGTTATGTTACAACAAATCGCTTGTTCCGCCTCCCACTTAAGACTGGAATAGTGTCAAAATCCTGAAAGCTGGCCAATGTGCAGCCTGTTCCAAAAAAAGGCAGCCGTGCCGACCCTGCCAATTATCTCAAATACTCTGCAAGATTATGGAGCGTATATTGAACGTCCGCTGAATAGTATACCTAGAACAGAATGATCTCTTTAGTAACCGGCAATATGCGTTTCGCCACAATCGGTCAGCTGGGGACCTTCCTGCGTATGCCAAACACGTATTGGGCGAGGCACTCGAGAACAGTGGGGAAGCACTTGCTGTTTCCCTTGATGTCTCTAAGGCCTTTGACAGAGTTTGGCACACTAGCTTTTTGGGTAAGCTTCCGGCGTACGGCTTATCCCCTGGTCTAGTTGAATAGGTAAAGGACTTTCTGAGTGTACGGTCTTTCCAGGTCGTCGTCGATGGATGGCTGTATGGCGGCTAACGCCAGTGTTCCTCAGGGGCCCGTTCTCTCCGCAACTCTCTTCCTGCTGCATATTAATGATCTGCTTATGTCCGGTATTTGTGGGTATGCAGACGATTGCACAGTTGTGGAGAGATACCCACCAAGTCCTCGGGCCAGTCGGGATCAAATCCAGTCCGAATGAGAAGCTATGGTAGAGCGTGCGAATATCACACTACAGGCAGTTTCCGAATGGGGCGATGCCAATCTTGTGAAATTCAACGCCTCCACATCCCAAGCGTGTCTCTTCACTGCAAAAAGGAACCAGCTCACCTTAGCTCCTTCTTTCCGAAATGTATCACTGGAATACACCGACCGCCTTCAGTTGGAGTTGCAAGGAAGCTGGGAGTCCTTGCAAATGTGCAGCGGTACTTCACGCCGCGACAGCTGCTTACTTTATATAAAGCGCAAGTCCGGTAGTGCATTGAGTATTGCTGCCGTATATGGGCTGGTGCTGCAAAATGACACCTAGCAGCTTTGGACTCAATGAAAAGGCGTGCTAAGAGGCTTATTGGTTACCCGAATTTGGTTAAAACCAATCTTACCAGACTCAAACACAGACGCAAAGTAGCCAGCCTTTCGGTTTTCTAAGGGATGCAGAGAGTGTGCGCAGGAATTGCATAATTTAATTACTCCCTCTCTAACCACCATCGGACTACCCGACGTTCCGCCAGTCCCCATCCTTTCGTTGTTGACTTACCACGCATTCGAACCAAACGGTTCGCTACGTCGTTCATCAGTACAGCAAAGGAGTGGCATAAGTTGCCAGCCTCTGTCTTTCCATCCGATTACAGTGTGGGTGTGTTAAAGGCAAGAGTAAATAGGCTTTTGTTAAGTCCATGCGCTTCATCATCTTAAGCTACATCACCACTTACCATCAGGTGGGATCGTATATAAGCGCTGGCTTAGTAGAATATAAAATAAAATTGCGCAACAGTTACGTAGCAATATTCATAATAATAATAATAATATTCTCCAGACCGAATTTCGATCACGGCGGCCAGTCTCAACGGAGACTAGCCATCGACGCAGGACAGGGTTATAGTGCCAAAGTGTATGCGCAAGCACAGGTGCACTCTCTATTCCCTCACTCTCATAGTCCGATGGGACGGTAAACCGACACGACCGGAGAGAGATCAGGCGCGGGACCAACGGCTTTACATGCTTTCCGAGGCACGGGGTTGAGACACCGCCAGCTTCCTGACTCCGGGCAGTTACTGAGAGTTTCTTGATGGAAAAGCTCAATAACTGATTTTTTGGCCCGATCCGGGATTCGAACCCGGAACCTCATGATCAGAAGTCGCACTACTACAACCACTAGACCAACGAGGCAGGCAATATTCATAAAGACCAGCCGAACATACGAGTACATTGTGATAAAAAATTAAGTTTAAACCAGTATTAATTACGTAGCGGATTTTACTTGTCATTGTTTATAATATATATAAGTACATCACCAGTTTGTAAAAAAGGACGTGATAAGTAATCTGGGTTCTAGTTAATCGATTTGATTATCTTCTTCTAGATTAGGAATATTCATTATTTTAGGTTGTTTAAACCGGGTCCAACCCACGGCGTAAGAATATCGGCAACCCCATATTATGCTATGAGTGTCGTATGAGGCAATAGAGGGTAATGAAACAGAACATGTGCTATAGCATCTTTGTGGTAACAACTTAAAGTATAATAAAAACTATGGTTGTCAATCATGACAAAATCAACATCTTCTACAGTGGACTTTAGATAGTCTGTAATGATGATGATAAGGTTGTAAATGGTAATCCTGTTTCTCACAACCAGTCTGCGTTATATGGCTTCAACCATGGAATATTAAATTAACAATTTTAGATGTATTTTCCGCTATTATTTTGTCATTAGAACCTAACTCGTCAGTAAGTACTAAGTAGCATGCAGTAAAGGTACGTTGTTTTATGATATAATCTTTAATACACTATTGTAATAAATTTCTAGTTGATTTCTCGATTTATTAAGACTAATAAAATAAATATCACAATATTACAGTAACCTTCATAAAATTAAATTGTAAAGTTTTCTGCCATCTCTACAAATTCATCAAGAATTAAGGCAAAGCTTACATGTATGTATATGAGATTAAAAATTGTTATATTTCATAGATGGCGCTTTTTATATTTTCCCGCAAAATGCATTTATATTCCGATGGAAGTAAAACTCCATACTACTTATTACACGTTTAATGATATCACAGGCTATTTAGAATTTAGTAGGTATTATTGACATTAAATATTTTAAAATATAGTATAATTTTTTCCCTTAATATAGGTAGGTATTACTACCTACTATCTATATGAAAATATACCTCACTAGATGGCGCTTAAATTTCCTGGTAGCCGATAACTTTATGAGTTCACTCGCCTCTACATCGAGTCCGCGAACGCTTGCTCGGCTGTGCAATAGGCATGTTGTCTCTATTGTAGAGTCAACAGAAACGCGAGAAAACTTTAGCGGGAATATAGAATACTCTACTCAGCCGGCGAGCGGCATCCGCGCTGGGGGTCTCGTCGCGTGTTGCGTTAAAGAAAATCGCGATGTTCCAATATATAGCTGGTGGACAGTGATTTTGTGCGACGACACGATTTATATTACGATTTAGTTACGAACACTACAATGGCTTCGAAGGTCGAGTGTTGGAGTGTTTTATTTTTGTGTATTTTGCATAGTGCTTCCAGTTTCAACCTGGAGCCAAGGATTCCAGTGATAAAGTACGGGGAAACCGGCTCTTATTTTGGATTTTCTGTTGCCGAACATCTTACTATCAACAGTACTAGTGGTGATAAAACAAGCTGGTAAGTAGATTTATGAACAACTAAGTAAAGATATTCTTAAAACAAGTCGTTTGACTTCGTAATGCATGAAGGTCATCGTTTTCCATATGCTCGATATCGTATCGCTGATATACTTCTTGAATGTTGCAATAAAATAATTCTGATAAAAATTATTAAAGTGTGTGGCACTTATCAGATATTATAGATCTGTAATTATTCATTGGATTTAAAGATTTTAGAAAAACAATTATACGTATAAATTATATAACATCATTATACGTATAAAGTATGAAAAAGTAAAAATATTAAAAAAAATTGAATATTTTATAATACAAAATAACTTTTTGTTACGTACTTAATATACAGTAATTTATTTTAGTCTCTCTACCCGGCATTGTTTCTGATGAATACGCGTATTGTTAATATTAACACATGACCTGTTATTGTACGACTGTTTAGGCGCCAAACAAGTTCAAGTTACGGCGCGTCTATTAGCTTAGTTTGAATGTAACTGTTCAGCGCCAGGTTAGAAACATTTCAAACTTCTTATCTATCAGAACTGGTGCGATAATAGTTAAGCTCGAGTCTACCGGTCGGTTAGTGTTTGCATCAACTTAACTGAAATAATAAACTCACAGATTGCAATTAGGTACTTTTATAATTATTTACTCTTAACTTAAAAATAAAAACGCAAACGAAATACATATTATTTCTTTTCAGCTGAAAATGAGGACGATTTGAATTATTAAAACGACCATTGAATGGTACCAAGTGCATTTTAAGTGTAGTTGGAGCTAGGACTCTTGCAATACATGTTTTGTTTTACTACATTCGTATAGTTTGACCTATATGTATCCGGTATCTACGCTTGTGCAACCAGAAAAAAATTACTTCTTATCGAACATCATATAGGCGCGTCGTTCAGGTGGAATACATAATATGTACCCTTGCATGATATACACACATGCAATAATCATAATACCCATCATATGTTTATTATTGTGACTGCCATGTTGGTCTGGTGATTGAAAGTGCGACTGGTGGTCGTGAGTTTTCGAGTTCGAATCGCGGGTGGGGCCAAAAATCAGTTGTTGGAATTTTCTGATAATGAATTTTTGGTAGCAGGCCGAAATCAGAAAGTTGGAGGAGTTTCACCTCCGTGGCTCGGAAAGCACATAAAACACGGTCTGGAGGATATTATTATTATAATGTTTACTATTTCACAATTATTTAAAAAAAAACAATCTTGTGAAAGATATTTAATAGTCTTGTTCTAAGTGAAAAACTATTATAACAAGTATGTAAACATGTTAAGATTTTATACTCATAAGATAGGCCGCATGTCTATCTGATAAATTCTAATAAATTTGTTGAATAAACGTAAAATACGTGGTAGAGCCATGCTGCAGCTATATTAGTAGTATAGTAACAGAGTAAATATGGGTCGGCTCGACCGGGGAATGACCACGCTCTCACAGAATACCAGCGTAAAATAGCAGCTTAACACTACTGTGTTTCGTATGGTGAGTGTAGAGAACCGGAGACCCTTTTTAATGGAAAAGAGGCATTCCATCTTAGTCCTCACGGGTGACAACGCATCTGCATTTTGATTCGCAAACGAGGATAGGTGTAGATGTCTATGGGCCACAGAAATCACTTAACACCAGGTGGACTGTGTGCTCGTTTGTCACCATATCCTATGAAAAAAAATGATCTACATCAGAAAGTGCAAAATACAAATACAGTTTGAAACATGACTCACTTATCCGGTTAGTAAATATTTATGTATATATATACGTTATGAAATATCTAATAGTCAGGTATTCTTCAAGAGTGGCACGTTGCAAGTAATCAAATAATTCCCTGCGCTCTACATTGTTATGGACTTACGTGTAATACCTTATCATGTTATGCAGTAAAGTGTTTTTGTACAGATTTACGAAACGAAAGTGTGACTTACACTCATTTAAAAAGGAATGAAGAGAATATATTTATAAGAATAGAATTATACCTACAAAAACCCGGAAAGCGTCTAATTGTAGAAATAATATGGTTAGTAAGAAAGTTTACAATGAGTGGTGTTGCGAATGAGTTCTGGTAGAGTCGTAATCATTTAATAAAAACTCTTACTCTTGTGGTAATTATTTAATAAAAAAAATCTTACTACTCTAATTAAAAAAAAAACGTTATTCCCAGCTATTGTAGTATCTTGGAAAGCGAGAGTCAGAATAATCATCTAGCACTCGCAGCACAATGAAGTTAACGTTATTATAGTGTTTCTCACGGTAAATTTTTGGAGTTGTAAAGAGGGCATCCACGAGAGTTACAAATGTGCAAAAAATTAAGGAGCAAACCACTGATGCATTGCTTTGTGTATTAATATAATACTCTAGAAACTCATAAACTTTTATTTATAACTATCTTCTCAATTAAATGCAATTGTGTAACAAAAAAATTCACCTCAGTTTACACTAGCGACATCTGGTGAGCTGAGCGTTACTTTGTGTTTGTAGAGAGACCGATTATTGTCAACGCCAACTTTAATTCTAATCTACTAAAACTAGTCTACTATAACACCTATATTCTCCTTTTCTGCCGACTTCCAAAAAGGAGACGGTACTCAATTCGACTGTATGTTTTTTATGTGTGTTATTCATAACTTTTTACTGGGTGAACCGATTTCGATGATTCTTTTTATTTGAAAGCTGGTACTTCTCGTGTGGTCCCATATGAATTTGATCAAGGTCAGACCAATAGTTGTTGAGTTATTCTTAATAACTTATATTGAAGTCTGCTGTACAAAATTTTTAATTTTAAATTATATTCCACAATGTCCACTTGGCTTAGTTCAATGTATACTTAGCTGTTGTAATAACGGTGGGCCATGTAATGGCGATGTGAGAATATCCACTACCGCTTATCGTTCCGTGGGTGTCGTAAGAGGCGACAGAGGTAACCAAACCAGAAGATAGGCAGAGCAGCATATTCCTAATAAGATCTAAAAAATTAAAAACTGCGGTTGCAAACCTTCCTGCCAAGCCTGCCAATTATAGCAAATATCCTCCATGAAGTAATCTATAGGAGACACCTATGTTCTATGGACTTTTGATAGGGAGTAACGGAAATGCGTTATATTGCTGGTTCTATATTCGAAATTAAATTTGAGTGAAGAATTAAGCAAAAGCACAAGTTGTTGGTTTTCGGGCCAAATACTACATAGGCTAGAAGAAGTGATTACCTTTGTGTTTGCTTGTACATTTTAGGTACTTCATCATGTCGTTCCAAGTAAAAAACTTCAATAGTATTCGGAAGTTTTTGTCATGGTTTGAAATTGAATCGATCAGAAAAAACCTTACTTACCACTTTGTAAAAATAGGTTTTGATTTGATAAAAGTTTCATTTCTCCCTATATACATGGTATTCCTGAAAAGTAAATATTGTCAGATTTATCAATTCTCCGTAAATACTAGAGCGTGGAATATCGTGATAAGGAAACGATAAGTTCGATTACGCTGAAATATAATGTGGATCTTTTTATTACTGTTATATACGGAGAGGCACTATCTCATCGATAATGTTTAACTTAGTATGTCAAATCTAGTGTATATATTGAAATTGTTATCAAGCCATATAATCTCTATACAAAAAATAAAATTGTAGTGTCTGTTTATATTTTTAATTTATTTTTTATAGGATAAGGGTGACAAACGAACACACAGTCCACCTGATGGTAAGTGGTTGCTGCGGCCCATAGACATCTACATCTATCTATTACAAATCAAAATGTAGATGCGTTGTCACCCGTGCGGACTAAGATGGAATGCCTCATTTCCAGTAAAACGGGCCTCCGACCACCTGCATTCACCAAGCGAAACGCAGAGGTAAACCTCTACTTCACGCTGGTTTTCTGTGAGGTCGTGGTACCACCCCGGTTCGAGCCGGCTCATCCGTGCGACAGCAAAAGCTGCCGCGTGGCTCTACCACTGTTAAAAATAACAACTGTTTTCTAAATTTAAATAAAACTAGTCTTTACGGATTTTATCGCGGTCCCCCCGTGACCATGGGTGTTATAAATTGCTCGATCTCGATACGTCGGGAATATAAAATAAATTAATATACGCGATAAAATCTCTTAAAACTAGTTTCACTTTTTTAAGTATTTCGCCTATACCAATGAAAGAGTTAAATGTGTAGTGTTCGCGTAAATATAAGAAATCATTTTTTCTAAATGCATATGAAAGTATATACGGTACTTATAACAAAAAAAAAAACAATTTTTTAAATTTTTTCTGTCTGCCAGTCTATCTGAAACGGCTGGACCAATTTTGGTGGGATTTTCACTGGCAGATAGCTGATTTTAAAAGGAGTAACATAGGCTATAAAATTGTAAACAAAATCCGATTCAAATAGGGAAGTATAATAAAAACTAAAAATTATTCTATGCGAACGAAGTCGTGGGCATAGCTAATAGGTATGTATATGTTTTGCCTTTTTCGATGAGTTTATCTACATTATCACTTCGCACTTTTTACAGTGTGAACTGTCAAGTATATAAGATGTTACTTGAACGCACAGCCACCTATCGCGTCCAAATCATAATCTATGATTTTCTTTTTTTGTACACAACCAATTCTTTTTTTTTCCAAGAAATACCAAATTCCTGTGTATTTTTCTTTTTATCACATTACGAGTGACAAAAGAACTCATAGATGATCTGTTAAACAAGCAAGTGAGTAAGAGCATTTTTATGAGGAAATCAACACGCATAGAAACAGAAACAGAAACTTTTGTTATTCAATATTGAGTAGAAATAATACTTGTTGAAAGTCACACTTTTGTTTAATTACCACTGGTTCGGAAAAAACCTATGTCCTGGGAAGAACCAGCAAGAAACCCAGCGAATCTTAAAAAAAAACAGCTTACAATTACATATGTTACACAATTAACAACACAAAACATATTAGAAATAGCCTGGTATCGATCACCTCATTCCCAGGGGTTATTATCATCCATAAATTCCT